AATTTAAACATAGGAAATAGACTTATCACAAGTCTTATTTCCATAAAACTATATTTATACTATAGCTTGTACTCACCTTTGCCTTACTTAATCCCAATCAACTTCTATGACTTTATCATTCTTAATCGATCCTAACTCTTCGGTCATTCCAGAACTTTCTTATGCTCGATATCTACACAATCATGCATTTGATATGTATATCATAATTCTAAGTATTATAATTCTATCCCTAATAACTCAAGCTAAAAGAAAGGCTTTATACACTTTTCCACTTTGAGTAGTATCGGTACCCTGTGTATAGTACTGATACTTCCCTAGCTGTGGTATCAATACCAAGCCTGGGTATCGATACCCATTTTCGATTCTGTAATCCTTATTTCAAAAATGGTACCGATACTGGCCTAATGGAATCGGTACCCTTGGTATCGATACTACCATTTCGATATCGATACCACATGAATAACTTGTCAAATCCGGGCTTATGGTATCGATACTATTCAACCAGTATCGATACCCCTACTTCAAATTTCATTCATTTACCCTTGAAGTATCGGTACTGGATGAAGCAGTATCGATACTCATAGCCCAGAATTCACTTTTTAAACCCAAAAATTCCTCAATATCAATCTAAACCTTCCATTTTAAGCTCTTATCATGCCATTAAACTCAACTACCCTTACTCAAATCAACTTATGTCCATATAAACCATCATTATCTTCAAAATCATCTATATCTTGAAATCAAGAATCCTACCAATTTTTCAACATGTTCTAATTTCAATTCTAACACTCCAATTTCTTAATTTAGCTGATGACAAGTTCAAATTTAGTTTTAAACTTTACTTACTAACTCTCTCCTAAGATTTCACTTATAAACCTCACATCTTTAATTCTTTCTAACTCTTTCATCTTTTGATTATAAGATAACTTAAGCTTTCCTTAAGCTTAAGTATCATCTAAGTAACATAAACCAAACTTAAATTCAATTCAAAATCAGCTAACAAGAAAACTCATATTTGTTTGTGATAGTTCACAGCTGAAGAGGAAGAAGAGTGAAGATATTATGGAAAAATCTTTATTTTCCCCTTTTTCTTCCATTCTCCACGTGTATATATCCTCACCATACTCCAATTTTTAATTCATTTATTTGTCAAATGACCATTGTTCCCTTCCAATCATTCTTCTTTTCTATTCAATCCTACACAAGATTTTTCATATAAACCCTTAAACTTTTCAATTTATCTACTTTAGTCACTAAATTATGAAATTCTACAATTTAGTCACTAACCCAGTGTTTGGGAAGTTACACTTCCTCAGCATCTTTTGTTCTCCCCACTACAACATCGAACACTAACCACTTGATGACGCAGCTCGTATCTGAGTCCCTGAGCAAACTTTCGGCACACATCCCTCTCGGTAGGTACCAAACTTGAACCATACTTCATCAACTTCAATAACTCATTCTCATACTCATATACTGTCATATCTCCCTTAACCAGATCCTGGAACTGTTGTCGCCTCTGCTTGAGATAATGTTCTCCCAAAAAATGACTCATAAAATGCTCTCTGAAGAAATCCCAGGACAAGCAATCGGACGGAACACTACTGACCATAGACTCCCACCAGGTGTGGGCATTCCCATCTAATATAGAAACAGTTCCCAAATAACGCCGTCGTATGTTGAATCTTAATTGATCTATGCGTCGCTCAGTATCAAAAAGCCAGTCATCGACCGCAGTTGGAGCTCTACTATTAGGGCCTCTCCAATGGTCATAACTTCATTAGTAATCAGAGTCTGAGAAATAGGAACATCATGTACAACGCCTGCAGCTCTACAGCTCCCTGAATCATCTGGAGAAATTGCCTACCGAGATTATCATCTAGCACTACTCTAGAAGGTTCAATCTCAGAAACGGTCACTCCTCTAACTGGATAACTCAAACCTATACCAAGGGTCTATACCAAGGGTAGGGGAAGATCCATCGGGGTCGTAGGAGCATAATTATCTACAAAAGGCACAGGATCTACACGCGTCTCGTCTATCGGGTCCGTAAACCTAGTCTCTCGACCTCATCCACGGCCAGGTCGACGACCACGTTTAGCACTCATCTTGGTGGATCTTGAGGTTCACTACCAAAAGATAAATCCTAGGATTAGTTTTGGCACTTGGAGTCCAAACACATTAAACTCGTAAAAACTTGGACCCATTCATAGTTTGAGGTTTTAAAACCAAAAGCTCTAATACCAAAATTTGTAACCCCCTAGACCCGGTTTATGTGTTACGACCTAATCTAGTGAATTATAGTAAAAATATTCTAAAATATTTTTTGATAACTGAAAATCCATATTATATTTAAACATCTTTAAAAATATAATTAATAGCATTAAAGTTTAAATCTAGTAAATTAAAGTCGTAAAAAATTGAGTAAAATAAAATATTTCAAAATCAGTATCGAAGTCATTCTAACATTAATAACAAAAGCAGTAAACGACTAAATATCGTAGAACAAATATTTTCAAAATGTAGCACATGTCACCCAAAAATAAATGCAACTCGAAAGATAAAATTATTACAACAAAAAGTAATGTATGAATGTGTCGATCCACTAATTGTTAGGTACGGGTCGACTATCCAAAATATATGAAAGAGAAAAGTTTGGGGGAATGATCTAGAGAGCCCAATGTGTTCCAACAGTGCAGAAATAAAGAATACAGTTAAGTTTTTAAAATCAGTTCAGATCACAGTTATTAAAACTCAGTAGAGTTTTGGTTTAAAATTTTAGAATTACCCTCCAACCGAACACCATATGCAGTCCCCTAGAACTACATAACCTAAGGGAACACCTTGGGTCCATAAGTTCTTACCCTAGCCGAAGCGTAGGTGCCCACATGAGAGGGTGTGCCCTCAGGCCCATAATGACTTACCCAATGCATATAGCAGAGGTGCCACCTATGGGAATACCTTATGGTCCATAAGGTCTTACCACTAGACCTATTGGGCCTAGGAGCCCACCCAAGAGTCACATTAGGTCTATAAGGAATTACCAGCTTAATCGAAGCTGAACCTGCAGAGACTTCATACCAGATCCCAGAGTACCCGAAGAAAAACATTTTCAGACAACAAACGGTGGTAGCAGGAAAACAGAGTTCAAACATATATCAATTAAGTAAAATCAATAACTAGAGTATAGGAATCATATAATTAGGCTTAAATCTTTGTAAATCAGATTGTAAATCAGATAAAACATACGAAATCAAGTCAAACATATTGACACATTGCAAATCAGATAAAACAATCATGTGCAAATGGTATTTCAAACATATATTTAAAATAGGTATATGGCACACAAGGAACACACCACGCAAAAAGAATCAGTCTGGTAGATCTGCTAAACATTGCCTTCACTACACTCTCCAGCGGTACGAGAACTTAGGTCATAACAGTACAGAGTTATTATCGAAGTAGTATACTAACTAAATATTTAACAGTGTTACATAACTATATGAGTATTCACGGGCTCTTGTGGATGAGCGGATAAGGAGGAACCAGGTCAAGCAATTGAACGATCAAGAGATCCACGAGTACCTTAAATATGCGATAACATTAATTAGTACTTGTCCTTTCAGTAAAAATTGATGCGCTGAAATAAATACTTAATTTACATATGTACATTCAGGTTTAACGGTCAATTCAGAGGCTTTCAGGTTTGAATTTGAAAAAACGGACTTCGAATTTAGACTTAGGACGTCAAAACATAATATGACTTTTCAAAATTTTGACTTTTTGGTCAAAGTCAATAGTCAACTCAAGTCAATGTGTCGGGTCAAAGTTAATGGGACGAGTCAAGTGTACTCGGTTAGGGTCAAACAGATCTGGTTCATACCGGGTTGGCCAGTTCGGGCCAATCCAGATCGACTAGACCAGTTCTAGAAGGTTTCCAGGTCAAGGGAAGAAGCCCCACATGCACTATCAGGGTGTGCGGTGACGATATGGTCCGGACGGACGATCGAACACTCCAAAATCATCCAATCATTAATACAACTAAGTTTAATCCAAAAATCAACCAAAACATGACAATTTAACCGAACATTAAAATTGATCTTACCAACGCTTACGATCGGTAAAAAGGGCGACGATGAGCCTGGTCTGGTTTTGGTTACACGAAGCTGGGAAGTCCGATGCTTGGGGCAGTGAGGCAAGCAGGTGTCGAGACCGGCCAGAATCGAGCAAACCAAATGCGAAAAGGGGGTTCTCGATGAAACTTCAATGAGCTTTCCACGACGAATGACAATGAATTTTGACGATCGACCTCAGGGGTCTTGGTTAGACAGTCACGGTGCTTTGACTGGAGGTGACGATGACAGTCATCGATGGTCGATTGACTATGAAATGGTGAAAAGAGTGATAGGCAAGTCGAGTAGCATCTCTTTCTCGATTCAGTAAAAATGTGGACGATTTCAGTGAGCCAACGAATGAGGTTGGGTCGTGGGAGGATTCCAGAACTGTTGGTGGTATTGGTGCTATCCATAATTGGTCGGAGGTGGAAGAATCAGCGGTCAAAGGCTTGAGGATGGGGTTTGTTTAGTTTAGGGTTTAAGGCTGAAACACGAACACTGGGTTTCTAGTTTTGGTTATTTTTAACTCACGCCTAAGTATTTAAAATTCATTTTTATTATGTTACACCATAGTGGCCTAGCGTAGATGGCTAGGGCATGGCACACCCTTCCTTTAAGTCAAAGTTTCGAACCACCTTAACCTCTCTTTTTTCCTATAGGTAGAGAATGGACAAATCTCAAGTTAGGTCCCTGAACTTCTAGGGGAAACTAAAAACTAACCTAAAACTTTGGAAACTCACAAACTAGTCCACAAAATTAATGAAATAAATAATCCAATTAAGATTATTAATATTAACCCAAAATTTTTGGGGTGTGAAAAGAGTAGGAATAGCTCCCACATCCTTCATTGTATCACTCTCGTCGCCGTCCAAAATGCACCTCTTCTTTACCCATTTTTATTCACTAACAAAAGATTCCATGGTAACTTAATCTTGTCATTTCCCACTCTGTTTTGGATCGAAAACTGAATCTTTTTTATTTTTGGTTTTACAGGCCCCAAAGAAAGACAATGCCCCTCCTCCTTCATCAAAGCCAGCCAAGTCTGGAGGTGGAAAGCAGAAGAAGAAGGCCATCATCTTCATCTTCTTTTTTTATTATATATAATGGGGTTGGTTTTTCTTTTTTTTAGAGTCAAATAAAATTTGGGTTTTTGTTGTATTAACAAAAGTGGAGCAAGGGAAAGCAAAAAGAGCAGGTGAACAACATGGTACTGTTTGATCAGGTTACCAATTACAAACTTCTCTCTGAAGCTCCTAAATACAAGCTTATCACTCTTTCAACCCTCTCTGATCGTTTGAGGGTACTTTCTTTTTGCCTCATTATGTGTTTAAGTATTTGTTCTTGATTGTTAAATTTCCCTTTGCATGATGTTTGTATTGCTCTTGCATTTTGTGATGATATTAGGTTCTGATTTGATTTTTACTGAGGCATGTATTGTTCATTCGATTGAGTGTAGTATTGTTGCTCCCCCTGCTCATTTTATTAGGAAATACAAATTTATATGAGATATTTGGTAGTACTTTTTAGTGTTGAATCCATGTTGACTACTACATGGTTACATGAATTTGGGCACATACTTCGAAGTTGTTTATTCTAAGTTTACAATCTCTTAACCCTCATTGGCAATCCGAGCTATATATTTTTTTTCTTATAAGCTCTTTTATATAGATGTTACAGAAAGTAATATGTTCATGTTAATACACCTGTGTTATAGACAAGGGAGCGTACTCAGGATTTTATGCTAGGGACGAAATTATAAAATTTAATGGGGGGAAAAACATATTATCAATATAAAATACTTCAATTAGATAATAATTTGAAATTATACAGACCACCCCCGACAGCCCCCTTCGGTTCATCTCTGATTATCAAGTTTGAATGTTGGTTCTATGTTTGGTACTCAGGTTGTCTTTCTTTTGTAAAATGTTTGCTCCTAGATACATGAGCAACCTAAAGTTGGTTATAGTGTCTAATATGTTTTTTTAGCACACGAAAGATTAATGGTTACGAGGAAGGTAATACGGGAGTTGATGGTGTATGGGGTCGTGATCTTTGGGACTGGGACATTGGTGCAAGTGTCCGACAAAGAGGTTCAAGATGGAGTATCGGACTTGCCAAGGCCACCAGACTTGACCCATCACTTGGAGAATGTTGTGGAGCCCATTCACATTGGCCGTGCAGAAAAGGAAAGTGGCATCATATCCGAAGATGATCACATGAGCTCGGTAAATATGGAAAGAGACAAGAAATCAGGAAGATATTGTGGGGGAATCTTACCATATCTAGTGTGAAAACCTATCCAATGAAAGAATCCTACTAATGGATGTAATTAGATAAGATTGATTGAGTTTTCTTGATTTAGGGGATTTTGTATTAATTGGGCAAATCTTAGTCGTTGATGTAAATCGATCTAAGCCATTGATTGAGAGGGAGCTCAACTATAAATAAAGAGCCTCTCCTCCTCATTTGTATTCATCCATTTATTCCTTCATTCTCTTGGGAGAGAGTAATAAAGCTATGAGGCATTTACTCTAGTTTCAATGTTCTTTGTTCTTTATTCTCTTTGTGTTGTTGCCTATCTTGGTGCTAGGAGTAGCCACACTTGTGTTTGCACTTCCACATTATAGTCCAACCTTTGCGGCTTGGAGTAGCCACATTGGTGATAAAGCTTCCGCATCCTAGAAGCCTTGAGGGCTTGATTCCAACCTTGTTGAGTTTGCATGCTCACTAGGCTTGAGTAAGGCTTACTTAGTCGCAGAGAAGACACGGAAGTGTTAAGAAGCGTCTAAGATCGCACGTCCTGTCAGACCTTAACTCTGATATTGCGATAATTTGGACTTGAAGGTTCTGAGGGCGTGACAAGTGGTATCAGAGGGTTGATTAGGTTGATGTGTGCACATTCTAGCCAGCAGATTTACACTAGGGCTAAAAACACCTAGATCTTTACCTATACTGTTACGTAATTAGATCTAAGTAATAGTTGTGTTTGAGTTTGGAAAATGATTTTTCCTTTAATTTTTGTTTAAAACTTTACCTTGGACTACTTTTTCTTGTATTTCTTGTGGTTTAGTGGATACTTTTCAACACAATTGGTTACTCAGCTTTGGTAGATTTGCCTGGTAGGTCGGGTTGATATGGTGATTTAGTAGCATAAATCTTAATAGTCATATTGACTTTAGAAATTTGGTCCATCGATGTTACAAACTTTTCATATTTCAGGTACCCACGTCCAACCCATTTTCAGACATAAATATATGGAAATGATCCTCCAGATCAAGCACACATATTTATATTCACATACATAAGCCATTATATCACTAAAATAGTTAATACACTGTTCTTAGGGTAGTTGTAAATTTCAAAAGTACGCAATCCACTTGATACAAAATTACCTACCACTCCTTCCATCTTTTTAGTTTTTCAGACAAACACATACCCGATTCATTATTACAAAACTCACTCTAATCTATGAAGATTCACAGTCCAATTCGTATTTCCTTGTCATTTCTGAGTCATGGAGTGTTCTTCAAACTTGCAAGAAAAGATGATAGTTGTTGAGATCGCCTCCTTGATCCTCCGTTAAAGTGCTCATTTAAGGCTAAAGGCCTCTGTAGCATCCTTCCATAAATAACCCAACTAGAAGAACTTTACCCTTTTATGTAAATATCACATGAAATGTAAGTATGAAGGACGCATACTTGGGCAACATTTTCACTCCATTCATGCGAAAGATCTTATTGATATGAAACAAAGATGGATTGAGCATTTCTTGGCCTCAGCAACAACTAGAACCAACAACACTACTGGCATCGCCTAGAGGTCAACTTGTTTTTTCCAGCACGAATGGTTTTAGCAAGAATTGCCTCTAAATCTCTCAAGTATTCCAAATTATCAAAGACCCCTTTCTTCTAAACTCACAAGGATGAAAACCGTTTATGGCCTTCCCCATCAAACCCATGGCTGCAATGCTTGGAAACTGCTTCTCTTGGAGTTCATGCGAAGTTGCCTTTGAGCTCGGTGGTTCACATAGCACTGCAGCATCTGGCTTCTTGTTTCGTGGAGCAGCTTTGTGACGACACCATCGGTGAATCCAAGCACCTGAAACAGATATTTCATGACTTTTCCTCACTGAACCACTGGAAGTGGAGTCGCCGTTCTTTAATAGCACTGGAGTTTGATCAAGAGCCAGTTTTGGTCTCATATAGCTTCTACCCACTGTGGGCTCTGAACTCGTTCTGCTGCAGTTCATGATTTTCTGATCTTGTTAATCTTTTCACGGGATGAAATTTCCCCTATTCTAGAGCTCATAGTACCAAAAGCAAAAGGATCTGAAGTGTTCAATTTGAGACGTTTAACCCATCTGCTGCTTGGTTCTGGCCCCAAAACACCATCTGGACAAGAAGTGGTATTGGAATTTGCAGGCTGCTCAGCATGGAAAAGGAGATTATATGCATCTAAACTCTGGGTTCTTGAGGTGCTTGTCATCCCATCATCCATCGAGTTTGCCCCAGAAGGAAGTGCAGGAAGCCCGTCATTCATATCAGGTAATTCTGTGTTGTTACTTCTGTTCCTAGCTTCTCCAGTAGCATTCTCAGTTTCAGATAATGTATGAACTCCCTTGATGTTCTGCAAAATTAATTAATAGTTATGTCTACTTTTGAAGCTCAATTAAAGTAATTTACACTCTTTGTATAGAAAGAGATATAATTATGCCATGCTCTGCTCATTAGGATCCAATGATTGCAAGACCAATTAGTCAATATCAGGGATGGACTGGGGGAGGTATATTTTTGCGTTTTCTTTCCTTTCAATGCCATTGAAAATCTATTTCCAATATCAGATTTTTTCTATATATTTCTATTAAAATCTATTTTCGTTCCCCTAAAATTTACAAGTTCATCCCTTCTTAAAATTTTAGATGTTCGCCCCTAACATAAAATTTTGCCTACTACATCCCTGATCAATATTAATGATGACCAAAGAAAACTAGTCTTCCATAAAGCACTCAATGTGTAGAATATTATTACAAAATCGAAAAGGTAATGACGACAGAACAAACAAGATTGCAAAGTAAAAACACACAGATTTACAGTGAAAAATCTCAAACGGTAAAAATCACGGGCAAACGAGAGAAATTTCAAGGATTACGAATATCACGCTAACACACGAGCGCACATTGGCACAGAACTATTTTCTCTCACACAATCTTTCAAAACCCTACGTGCATATTTATAAGTGCAAGAACTTAAAAGAAAAAAAACCATAGAAAATAAACTTTGCAGTACCATGGAGGCTCCATCCCCACACCCCTGCAAGATCAGTGCTGGGCTATAGTTTCGGGCCTTAAACTAAAGAACTTCTGCATTAACCAAAAAAATCCACTATTTCCTCCCAATTTCATTTTTTCACTAAATGGGTCACACAGAAAAAATTAATTACCTGAAACAAGAAAGAATCCTCATAGTCTTGACATCATGAACAGAATGAGGTATTCTTGGCAGCAAGAAATGCTCATTGTATGGTTTTCCTGATTTCTTTTCCTCAGGACCACCCAAGCTTGGAAGCAATCTAATATAAGAATCAGTTTCCAATTTCTGACTCTGCTTATTCTCACTATTGTTTCTTGACTGGTCATTCAGTAATAGAGGTGCAACATTCTGTCTGGATAATGAACTCCCCACTCTTCTGGACTCGAAAAGGGCATCAGCTTTCTTCTCATGGACCCAAAAGTTAGAATATCTGCAAAGTTTAGTATCCATGAGGTGCTCTTTGGGAACTACAACAGGACTTGATTGATCAATGTTTTCATGTTGATGTGTGAAAGATTGTTTTGGAGCCACCGCACTCCGCACTACATATGGTACAATTTTAGAAAATGACCCAACATCATTTTGAAAAGACAATGAAACAGGTAAGATGTTTTCTTCAAGAAATTCATGAGGCTTGACCAGCTGCTGAGGAATCCGTGAAATGCCTTCAGGATATGCCCAGTCACTTTTACCCAGCGCAAGAGAATTATGACCATCATTGAGATCGATTCGATACCTCACTGCCTCAACATCAGATGAAGTACCTGCATTATTCTTCAAAGACAAAGCACTTCCCCTATTCCCTGTATTGGTGGACAGTCGAAGAGACTGTCCATCCAAAATTTCTTTCCCCAACTTCTTTGAAACTGTTCTCAGACTCTTTTTCAAGGTGTCATCTGTTCTGGCTTCAGAAACATCTCCTTGAGAATATTTCAAAATATTGGTTTCCATTTCAGTCCCTTCAAGGAAAGGATGCTTCTTAGAATCCTCATGATCAACTTTTTTGGGTCCAGGAAAGTTCAGTAAATGATTGTGAACCTCAGTGGACGGCTTTTCCCTTGCATGCCTCCAGTGACACATCCAAGCAGCATGGTAATGGTTCATAGATTTCCTAGCTGTTCCATCGCTATCACGATCTGATTTTGCAACGCGGTCAGACATGGTAAGATCAAATTCAATTTTAACTTGAGAAGCGTTAAGAGGCTCAACGTGTCTTACCTGACAATAAAATTCAGCAAACAGTAACATCAAACATGATATCCATAAGGTTTCAAAACAAAATTCCAAGAAATTAGAAAAAAAAATCAAAACATAGCGCTTATAAAGACCAGTAAATAGTCTATTGGAAATTAAGGATTAACGAAACATATGCATAACTTATTACCCAATCTCATCCTTCAGAACTGTGGACTGGAAATGTTAAGGTTGAAGTAACCAAAAAGTTTTTAGATTGCACCAATAAACTCTTTCGTTGAAGTTTTGGATACATGAGATCATTCCAAGCTCCCAGAGTTAATTTGTTTGGTCACTGCTGGAAAGTTTAAACTGGATTGCACGATTCAAAAGCAACATAATTTGCACAACCAAGCCATTGAAGGTTAAATTTCTAAAAAGTTGATCTGAGCATATTTTTCTTTGATTTTATTTTGGATTATGTTTTTCAACTTTAGGACCTATAAGATATAATTATTTTTGGCATTGAGATTTTATTTTACATTCGTATTAAAAGTTGTTCTGAATATTTAATTATTATTCTTTTAATCATAAAATTTAATAATTTAATTTAATAATGAATATAAAATACTTACTAACCATGGAAACAGGCGTTTCACATTTGATCGAATTACGTTTCGATTCGCGACTTCATTCCATTAACGGAATTCATAATCTATGCAATACTGCTTACCAGTCTTTTTTTTTTTTTAATTTAAGCACAACCAATAAAACGAACTCTACCATTCAGCATGCAAAATCGGAATCATAATTCATAAAAGTGAAAGATCTCCAATCATAAACTAAGCAAACATCAGAACAGCTGAAAATTCACACGTGCATATAGGCACGCACTAAAAGTAGGCAGTTTAAAAGAAACGAAGAAGTAAATAGTCGAATTTAGCTTTCAACCTCACCTAAAAAGACTGAGAAAGAAGAATCAGTGTTCATGATGGAAAGAAAGATCGAAGATCGAGCAAAAGAGAAACAGTGAAACACAAATCCATGGAGAAATTCAGATCACAAATTAAGGAGAAAAATCAGAGAAAATACTGTTTGCTAAATAGAGGAATTTGTGGACGATCGTGGAGAGAGAGAGAGAAAGGACGTAAGGGAGGTGAAAGAAATAAATGCAAGGGAAAAAGCATCCACGATTTGCGAAACGAGCCGATAAAATTTGGGAGCTGACAGAAATAAGATAGGGGTCCCACAATCTTTCACTTTTCACATTGATATTCCATTTTTTATTTGGGTAAATTATAATTACATGCTCGGAGTTTTACTTTCTCTCTTATCTTAATCACTGTATTTTTTATTTTTTAAAATTAATTCACTCAATTTTACACATTTGGTTTTTTCACTCCATAAGTTTCTAACGGTATTATGATGTAAATTAAATAAATACTTTTTTAATTGTTAAAAGATAGGTAAAAAAAGGAAAATAATTAAAAAATAATAAGATAAATAATATTATCCAACTTCAATTCTCCCATTAGAAAACTACCCAATCCCACAATTAAAGGTCACCAGTCACACCCATCAATCTTCCGACGAGAGCTAGCCACGCCAGCAACCATCATTTCTAGGTGACGATAACTATCTCGGCAACAGTCAAACGACCACGGTTACTCCCAATCTAACCCTATGATATTTCAGTAGCGTTTAAAGAACATGTTTTTTTGGTATTGGGTACTCCCCTTCTCCTCCAATAGAGTAGGGGCAGCAGCAGTGCCATCGAGTAAATGACCGCTATAATAGGATTACCCATATGTTGGTTCTGTTGCCAGATAGCTTTAATTAAACCCGACCCACCAATTTTTTAAAAAAAAATTATTCAAATTTGATCATTAAATTGAAAAAAAAAATGTATTTTGATTATTAACGTTTTCAATTTATTATAATTTGATGATATTACATGTTAAAAAAGGTTGATTTCTAGTTTAGTTTCTAATTGTGTACAAATATCAATTTATTTTCGAAATTTAGTTTCATTTATTTTCTTAGAAAAAAAACTCTAAATTGAGACACATTTAATAAAGATATATTAATACTAGATTTTCTACTTTTAATCAACATTCAAAGTAGATATGTTTCTTCTACTTTCAATCAAATTAGGTTTTTTATTTCCCTCAATTTCTATTAATTTATATTTTCATTAATTTAGTCTAATTGAATTTGGTCAAACTCTAACAATCTTCACCTTAACATGAATTTTAAAAGAGCAATAAGTTCCAGATAAAATTCCAAATTCGATGAAATAATCAAACTCAACAACAATGATAAAAATAATAATTTTTCAATGAACAAGTTCTTCACCTTGAGAATATAATCTACTTTCTTCCACGAAAACCTTAAAAGGAATATTCTTCAAAAATATTTGGCCATTCTATAACATGTGAAAGGTCACTGTCTAAAAAGAATAATTGTATATAATGTAGTGACCTCTAATGTATTTTACCCAATTAATTATAACAATTATTGACGCTCAATGGTTTTATTAAGGTTAGTTAACATATGGACCTGATTTATTTACATCAATAGTTTGAGAATAAATTTAAAATATTTAAAGTTTAAAAATTAATTTAAAATAAGAATTATAATTTGCAGATATTTAATGAAATTTACTCATACCATTATTAATGTAAATATGTTCATTTGATCTATTACAAAGTTAATATTTTTAATAAACTTAATGAGAATTAAATTAAAAAAGTTATCAAAAGTACATACAAAATTACAAATTTTATGGAAAAAAAAGTTTAAATTAAAATTTTCTGAGATATCACACCAAATAAAATAAAATTAAAAAACTTTAGGAGGCTAACATAATTTATCCCGCTAATTTTGGATATTTTTAATTAAGATAAAGTACACTAGAGGTTATTGAATTTGGTAAAGTAATCTTTTCGATTAATGTCACTTCAAATGTTACATAATTATCATTAAACTACTTAGACAGTTACCAAATGGTCCTTTGCAACGTTAAAATAGTAATAAATTTAAGATCTATTTTATAATAGTTTAATAAGCTTTTGAAGACGATTTTGTAACAGTTTTATCATTCTTCTTTAAAAAATTTAATGACTATTTTATAATATTTGAAGATCACTAATTAAAAATTCATTTTTATGTAATTTAATGATATTTAATGTAGTTAGGGATTACAACAAGTCAGGTTAGGTCGGGTTTTTAGTCCACCCAAACTCAAATCGAAAATTGAAGTTTGCAGCCGCACCCGATCCGACCCAAGTTTAGAAGGGGCCCCATCCGACCTGAAATTTAACCCGACCTAAATATAAATAATTTATTTTTATTAGGTAAAATATGGACCTAATCAAAAAAAACAAACAGAAAAAGATATTATTATAATTATCTCTAAACATATAAATAATACTTAGAATGTCGAATAGGATCATATTTTTTCACCTTAAATTTAAATCAAACCGACCCAAACACACCCTAGAAAAATTCAACTCAAACTCAAAATTTTAAAATAAAAAATCGACCAAATAAAATTAAATCAGAATCTGTCAAAACTGTCAAATCTTAATAAAATGATCATCCCCAAGTATAGTTTACTCTTATAAACGTTAAAACGAAAATTTGAAAATTTTGGAGTTTAGGTCCCTTTTCGACAAGAGATTTAATAATATTAATTTAATAAAACTAAATAAATTAAATGTCTTTAAACAAAATAAAATTCAAGTATAAACAATCCACAACCAACGGATTAAGGGATCGTATGCGGAGGTCGGCTGGATGGAGAGTTGAGCCGAGGCCATGCTGAGCTGCAGATATAAAATAAAAGAAGGCTCACTCTGTATCAAAATTTCAGTCAATCACTCAATTGTTTGGACGGCCGAAGATGCAACGCAACGTATCCTAACACCAAGCAAATTAAGCTGTGGCTACTCTTCCTCCACGTCATCCTACGACAAATTCAATCATTCGTTTACTATAATAAACTAAGGTGACGTTTGAATTGTTAGAATGTTTATGAGGGAATTAGAATATGTCAGGAATTGAAATTCAATTTCATATTCTGTTTGGTTGGCAGAAAATTGAGTTGGAATCCAATTCTATATTTTGTTTGGTTCACAGACATGTCAAATGAATTTAATTTCAGTAATATAAAATGACAGAATTGCTCTTCTTGTTTTTTTACTTAATTTTATTTTGTTTTATAAATTACACGTAGTAATATATTATAAAAATTTTAAAAAATAAATTTTAATTTTATTGATTGATTATTCATTTCAATAAATTATAAAAATCATATTAATAAACATCATAAGTTAAAATCATCCCAATTAGGGATGGCCATGGGTCGGGTTTTTTGTCCACTCGACCCGACCCGAGTACAAGGGAACCTCCATCCGAGACCCGACCCGACCAAAATAAAGTTCCACCCGACGCGACCCTAATACATGAATTAGAAACTCGACCCGACCCGAAATAATAAAAAAAATTATTTTTATTCAATAAAAACAGTGACTTAATTGGAAAAAAATATATAGAGAGGGGTATTATTGTAATTATTCCTAAATATATAAGGTAAAATTATATATTTTTTTGGTCGGGTCGGGTCGGGTCGGGTATTTTTCACCCTAAACAGAACCCGACCCGACCCGAATATCACACTTAAAAAAACCGACCCGACCCGACCAAAATAAAATTTCACCCGACCCGACCCGAATATATGAATTAGAAATCTGACCCGACCCGACCCGAAATAATAAAAAATTAATTTTTATTCAATAAAAATAGTGACTTAATTGAAAAAAATTATATATAGAGAGGTATTATTGTAATTATTCCTAAATATATAAGGTAAAATTATATATATTTTCGGGTCGAGTATTTTTCACCCTAAACACGAACTCGACCCGACCCGAATATCACACTTAAAAAAATCGACCCGACCAAAATAAAGTTTCACCGACCCAACCCGAATATATAAATTAGAAACCCGACCCGAAATAATAAAAAAATATTTTTATTCAATATATGAATAAGTTACTAAAAGATTGATGAGGGTAGTATGGTCAAATTTCAATTCTCTCCAACAAGGGAATTGAATTCTATCCATTCTTGGATGAAATTCAATTTCCCTCATTTAATGGAAAGTTGAAGTCATGAGGGTTCCAGTTCCCTTGGAAAACTTGAACCAAACATGAGAAAGTGGTGGAATTGGATTTCAATTCCCCCTAATTTCAAGAAATTCATGCCAACCAAATGTCACCTAAGTGCATCCGAGAATTCGGTCAATCTTATCAAAGTTGTTAGGTCATTTATTTTTATATTTTTGTTTTAATCATTCGACTATTCTTTTCAAAAATTATGTCTAACGATTTGCTTTATTTTTATTTTGATCGCATGTCGATAATTTTAACTTTTTTTTTTGAAATGTACGAGTGGTTACAATTGGTCACGCGCACACACATCGTAAACACAACTACTGAAATATAATTTTTTAAAGAAAACAGTTAGATTAAAATTCATAATTATAGATACATATTTTTAAAACTTAAATACACCACTGCCCCCTAAAGTATACCATTCGTACCGAATTGTCTTCTAAAGTATTTTTCAGAACGTTTTGTCCTTGAAGTTTAAATCATTACCTCAAACCGTTAATTCTGTTAAAAATAGTTAGAGTAAATTACATATTTAGTCACTCAACTGTTTTCATAGTTATGTTTTAGTCACAAATTGTTTTTTTTTCAAAACCATCACTAAATTTGAGTTTTTGTTCCGCTTTGACCACCCAATTCGATTCAATTTTTTTTTAATTTTTTTAATATATCAGAATTCATTTATATCACATACTTTTTACTCGACAAGTAAATTTAATTTTTTTCATTTACTTTTTATACATATGAACGACAATACCTATTAAGGATAAAAAAAAGATTGAATTTGATTATGTACTTGATGGAAAACGAGCTCCTTTTGTTAATTGATCGTAATAAACTAAGTACTTTCCAAATTATCTTAATGATCAACGATAGTGCCACTACTGATAGTACCATGCCTCAAAAGCTACAAGAAATTCATTGAAGCATTAAGCCAATTAC